TCCTGGTCCCATTGTGCCAAAGGCTCCCCATCCAGCTGTGCTGGGTGGCAGCAGAGCCCAGCTCATGGGACCCCACAGCCCCTACCAGAGTGACTGTACCCTGTGGGCATCCCCTTCCAGGACACAGCTCCATTTGCCGGCTGCTGCTCATGAATTTCCAGTTGAAGGGTGCACAGTGTTTGCAGTGCCACTCTGATTGATGGGTTTATCTTCCAGTCCATTTGCTTACTTAATTATCCCAGAATGAGAAAGAAGTTATTTCTTATAAATGTGGTAATAAGCGGATCAGGATGTCAACAGAAGCACATTCTTGTACAGTTTGTGGAAAAAGTCGACTTTCCCCAGTTTCAGTTCATGTCAGGCTTCCCTCATCAGCAGTCAGTAAATTAATAAACAATATCTGTTGGGCCCCAGTTGTTTGGCATCAGTCAGAACCTGCATGGAGCTGTCATCATCTTGAGTGTTGTCGCTGTCCCACATCTTTGCAATTTAGTACACACTGGGAAAGGACAAAGCTCATATTTCCCTTAACTTCTCTTAGTTGTTTCTGGGATGTCAAAGCTTTTCATTTGACAGCTCCAGCTGCTGTGTAAAGGAAAGAGGGTCTGTGGTTATCTCTGGCCTAACTCATTGATGGAGGGGAGAGGTTTTTCTACCTGATACCAAACATTGCTGAGGCCATTTTTGCAAAGGAGAATCTACCAAAAATTTTCAGATGAATACAGTTTGCAAATGCTGATTTTAAGTGGTAAAAAAATTACAAAGATTAAAGATTGAATCAAGTGCCTGATGTTAAAATAAACAACACACACACAAGAAAATGATGGTAAAGAACCTGAAGTCTCCCGATTTCCACTTCAGCAGGAATTTTCTCAGTAAGGATGAGTGAAGGGCTGAAGGCTTAGCTGCAGGTCCAAAATCCCTGTGCAGGCTGAGACCTGCTTTAGAAAACAGGATGGGAGTGCAATGGGCTGCGGAGAGGCCCCTGTTTCCCCACAGCCTCTCCACGTGCCAGTGAACATCCCTGAGCTGTGCCGCCCGCTCCTGCCATCCTGGAGTGTGTGTGTGAGCACACAGCACATGTACACTTCCCTAACCATGTCTATCAGTGTCATTTCAGTGTGGGTGGCACCAGTGACTGTGCATATGCTTGCTGGGTGTAGGTGTGCCGAGGGCTATCTGCACGCAGACTTTCCAGTGCGTCGGTGCTGTGAATGGAGGGAACTGTCTCACCTCTTTTCCTTCTTGATTACTTCCACATTTTCCTCACTTTGAATATCTGGAGTCTGTCCTCTCAGAACCTGCGCTACAATCATTCCTTGAGCGTCACATTATCCAAAATAACAAAATTGAGGTGAACAAGGCAGGGAGAGAAATGCATGTCACTCCATCAGCATTCATTTATGCCGAGGCTCTGTGAAAACCATATGAGATTCTGCATTGTTTGGAGTTTATTTAGATTAATCACTATAATTACATTTTGCTCTTTATAAAAAGCCTCCTATAGAGATTGTCCAGCTAGAAAATAGAAGGAATTTTGGAAATAGTTATTTGAATAGCCTCTTTAAAGACATTCAGGAGCATCATGTAAAACACAGTGGGCACCGGGGGAAATAATTCTGCCGGGAGGTCGGACGGATGCCGAGTTCTGTTGATTTCCTCATTTTTCAAGGCTGGAGGCTTCTGCATGTGAATGAGTCCTTTGTTTTTCCAAGGCTTCTGGTACAGAAATATATCTGCTGCAACAACCGCTTATTTTCTATCCTGGAAACAAAAGCTCTGATAGCGAAGGCAGACCGTGCTGCTTGGGTGGACAACTTCTTGCCATGCAAAGCAGAGCAGAGAGGAAGGTGGCAGACATCCTTCTCAGAGCCAAAATTCTCTGTCTCTAAGCAAAACCTTGGAGCAGAAATGGGTGAGAACAAAGGTTCTCGCCCAGTACAGCAGGGTCAGCCCCAGACAGAACACAAGGGGAACAGTAGCTATGATACAGTCATTTTCTTATTCTCATGTCTAGCAAAGATCTAAAGTGAACCAGCTACACGCCTGCAAAATGCCTTTATAACATTTCTTGAATTGGACAGAGTTTATTTGGCTTTTTGGGGTTTTTCAGACCTGTATTTACCTAATTCTTTACACTCAATGGCATTAATTATTCCCACAAACCCCTGTTGTATGTTCCCCATTGACCACCAGATGCCTTCCTGTCCCATCTATGTTTTAAAAACCCTTTGGGAAAAAATACAGGTTTTCGAAACACTCTACTCCCTCATATTTTCAGTTTCTCCTGATTAAGATGGCACTGTGCAATATACTTGTATTCTGTGTTGAATGATTTTCATTGTTTTCTGAAACCTGCAAGGGGGAATAAGCTCCTTCAATTGTTTTTAAGAATCGAGATAATTCAGTTGTGTTCTTCTCTCAGAAGATTGGTGGATTGATCTGTGTTTCTATTGTGACTACTCTTGTGAGATTAAAGAGTTTCATCAATTTCCCAAGACTCAGTTTGGGTTTTAGCCAGAAGTTCAGAAGCTATATTGCTTTGATATTGATTTAGAAAACCTTCAGAGCGCATAGAGTTAATTCTGAACACCCTTATGCTAACAAACTCTGAATAAAATGTTGTTATCTATAGGGAAAAAGGAAATGAATACCTTCTTAAAATAATGATCTTATTACTACTTATCTTGTTACACTGTGTTGAGGTTCCCCTTGTTAAGCCACCTGCATTTTGAGAGGTTTATAGACAAAAGCAGCATTATTAATTAATGCGACTGTGCAAGCTTTCTGTAAGCTATTATAATATTTTATTGTTATGGCTACTATTATTGTTATCAGATAGGCTGTTTGGGAGTTTTGAAAATGTGCTAGCATCTTTCTGTTGCTCTAGTTATCCTTCAGCGCCTTCCTTCAGATTATAAATGCAGCTGTTTCTATTAAATTCTGGATGGAAAGCAACATCCCATAAAACCTATCAGCAGGTTATTTTAGCCTCAAATCAGTATTGCTTAAATTATACAAGGAGTGAAATGGAGGTCTGATGAAGGTGCTCTTATCAACAGCAGACGTGAATTATTTGTGCTTGAATATGACTTTGGGCTGATGGTCACCCAGGCAGTGAGATGGGGTCAGGGCATCCTTTGACCACCTTTAACTGCCCCCTGAGTGCCCAAACGACTGCTCTAATGAACCTGCAGTCTCTGGCACTAAGAATCACTGCCTGGTCACCTGGTAAAGGGTGGTTTGGAGAAAAAAAGGAATCCATACTAGAAGGATGTTTAATTGCTTACCATAAGGAAGGTGCAAGTCTTCTGGGCACTTTTTTTTGCTGTGTAACTGTACCTACTGTCCTTGCAAGAGGCCACAAAGTTTCAGGCATCAGTGCACTCCAAGGTAAAGGAGCACAGTTCTGTGACCCCCTACCAACTCTGGCATTTATGTGGGTGTTCACGTATTTTGTCATCCCAGAAGTCATATTGAAATCCATAAAACTGTCTAGGAAGATATTAAAGATCCCAAACTCTTATTTGCAGAGGTTAAATGAAGGCCTGAGGATGTAAAGAGTAGAATTATCCCTGCACCATAAGGTTATCACAGAGTTACAGAATATGTTGAGTTGGAAGGGACCCACAAGGATCTTCGAGTCCAGCTCTTAGCCCTGCACAGGACCATCCCCAAGAGTCACACCATGTGCCAAGAGTCACACCTGGGTCCTGTGGGCAACACCGAACATCACCATGCTACTGCGGATTTTGTAGGCTTGGTCGCATCCCATTTTGGTTATCCCACCCTGCAGTGTGCTCATGTGTCCAGCTGTTCCTTATGCAGGAGCAAGTCTTGACCTTTAAATTTGGTCACCACTCTTTGGTGTTATTCCAATTTAACCACATGCTTTTGGAGATGGGGAAAGGTGACCAGGGCAAGGGACCCTACACCAAACCAGAAAACGGGGCATCCAAGTCCTTTTTCTAATTCTGCCACAAATAGCCTTTTTACTGTCCATTTCCTCTTCACTATGTAGCCCTTGTGTGTATCAAGGCTGCAAACAGTAAGGGCAGAATCCCAGGGCTTGGACATGAGCATTCAGGTTCTGGCAAGAGTTGATCCCAAGTTTGGTTTGGGACTTTAGAGAGGAACAGGTGAATTTCCTTTCTGAGGTGGCTGTGGCTCTGTATTCACTACAGTTCTTCCTCAAAAATTTCTATACCACAAATTGTGCCTAAGAACTGGTTTTTGTTGTTTCTACTTTTATTGTTCCCCCATCCCCTTTTCTTTTTTTGAGAAAAGCTGCTTATGGTCAAATAAGCTCCAACCTCACTAGAACTGCCACAAAACAGCTCCTGCAATGATCCAGGCTAAAATAGACCCCTAATGTCAGAAGCCTGTCCTATCTGATGGTGCTGGTGAGCACAGATTCCTCCACATCAAACACAGAGGTGAAAAGCCTCATAGGTTAGCAGCGAGCAGGAGAAATCAATGAAAAAGATGATGGGTTTGGGGGAGTTTCCTTTTTTAATCCTTTGGGTTCTCTTGTTTGTTTGCTCTGAAATCCTTCCTCCCCAGGCACGTTTGCAGGATACGACCCTCTTTGTTATCCTAATGAGCCGGCTGTAGAGAGTGATCGGTTCAACTCCTGGCCCCAGGAGTGAGAGCCCAGGTTGGGAAGTGATGGATCAGAGGCAGAGGAGTTTCATCCCTTTCTCTAGAGGAGTTTGCCACCTACTGATTCACAGGTTCCTTTTAGCTTCTGCCAAGAGAAGTTGAGGGGGAAAGCGGGGAATTTAGGGGTAGGTGGGGATTGCCCTTAGAGATCTCAGTCAGGACCCCCGGGGGGAATAGCCGGGGCTAGGGGGGATGCCATACCCAGCTGTTGAGCTCCTAGTGGGAGAAGGGGAAGGAGCTGGTTGGAAGCGCCTGGTGTGTGCGTGTGTGTTGTGTGTGGCGGGGGAGGGATGTGGATGAGGAGCGGGCTCTCTTTCTTCCTCTCGGGGCTCAGTTAATCCTGCTGCCAGGCGCTGTTCAGCGGCAGTCTCAGCGCTGGATTCTGAGCGAGGGAGACGCGCATCCCGAAGGCGCAGCGGAGGGCAGGCGAGAGAGGCAGCTAAAGAGAGCAGAGCGGGGGAAAAATCAAATCTATGCTTGGAACTGGGCTTCTTTTTCGCCAATGCAAAAGGGAATATGCAGCACATTTTTGCCTTCTTCTGCACCAGTTTCCTAGGGGCGGTGTTAGGGGCCAATTTCCCCAACAATATCCAGATAGGTGAGTGTGGGGCTGGGGACGGTGGTCCCCCATGAGTGGGTAGGGGTGGAAAGGGGGCGGTGGGGGAAAACTGACCCATTCATGTGCTTGCAAAGGCAAAATACGCGTGTATGTGTGTGAGAGAGAGCGAGGGAGCGAACTGCGAGGGCTGGATGTGTGCGTTGGTACCAGCTTTGCCGGAGCAGAGATGGATCAATTTGGCTTTGGGGGAGGGGAAGATTGAGAATAAATGCCTGCCTGCACACACACCAACACAGAGGGAGAAAAGTGCTTCTGAAATGGAGGAAGTATGGGAAAAAATTATCTGTTCCTTGCTCTGAGAAATGTCTGGGCTGCCATTGTGTGTTGCTGCATTTGCAAAATCGGCGGTTGCATGATCCGTTTTTGTGAGGATGCTCTCATCTGTAGGTAACTGGGACGAGAGGTAACAAACAGGCACTCTTCCTTGTTGATGCTAAAGAATAAGGGCAAAGCTACTGGAGGAGGATTTTGCATTGAAGTCTCTTTCCATTTCATGCCACTTGCTTCCCCTGCACACCAGCAGTGCCTGTTTGATTCCTTTCTCCCTTCCTGTAACTTCTCAGTGCTCCTCTCCCTCCCTCCCTCCCCGGGTTTATTATTACTCTCCCATTGATCTTTACTGGTGGTGGTTTGTAACCTAGCCCCAAATTCCCTTCCCTTGCATGCCCATTTTCTTTCACGCCTCCCTTCTCTTTACAATGCCAATCAATTGCTAATCCACCAAGTTCAGGCAACTCCTGCCTGAGTCCAGCCGCACAATCAGTGCTTTTATTGCTGTTGATGCTGCATCCTTGTCTCCCTCCCTTCCTGTCTCCTCTTTACCCCAAATTTGTGCAACATCCCAAATTTTTTCCCTTTCAGCTAACACATATATTTGTCTAACTTGGCAATGAGCATCTTATTCCTCTGACACCCATGATTAGGCTGTGGAGTGGGAGGAACGGGGGACGTAGGGGGATATTGATACACAAATAGCCCTTTCCACACAAGGAGATGCCCTCTATACTAAAGATATGTAAAGAGACTTTGATAGCAGGTCCTCGCACATTTGTTTCTTCCTTGAATCATCTTAGGCATTCGTACTTTCTGCTGCTTTATTTTAATTCTCCCTTGTTGCTAAGTGCTTTGTTCCCCTACTCCTAAAATGCCAATAGCAGTGCTCTCTTTAAATACATATAGATTACAAGGCAGGCTGAATTTAATAGCATCTTCCTGGAGGCTGTGAAGGGATCTGCTGCAAGCCAAGGTTCCTGCTGGGGGAGCAGCAGGAAACTTTTCCTAGGGCCTGGCTATTGCTACACTTTGTTACAGGTCCATGGTGGAGGAAAGGCTCTGAGCCTTAGTCCATCCTGTTTCCAGTTCCTATACTATTTGTATCATTCTGTGATTCTGGGCTTGTCTATACTAATGCTTAGATTGATCCCTTTGGGGATCAAAGCTTTCAATTTCAATAAAGTCAAGGTTTCAATTTCCTGCCCAGTTTGAGTTTGACCACTGTCACCTGTTAAATTTAGGGCTTTTTGGTTTTTTGCAGCAAACCTCTAGTGGTCATGGGTCCCACATGTCACTCTGGCACTTGCAGCCCTGTTCCCATCCACCCTGTTGGGCCAGGCTCAGCCAGGCTGTCCCGTACCCCAGAGTCCCATAGTGGAGGGAAACCCCTGCAACCTTTCTGTAGCAAACCTCTCCTTCTAGTCAGGGGGGTTAGGCTGAGCCTAATTACAAGTGAGGGAAGGAAGAAAGATTCTCATTCTGCCTTTAGTAAGGTAACATTGACAGCGTTGCCATTTGTCTGCCTTAAAGTTTTGTGGGGTGAGGAGTTTCACTTTACTGCCATGGATTATCCCGATCCTGCAGGCTGCTCAGCCTGGGGTGCATCAGGGCTCCTGTATGTGATCCAGACATTACATAACACACAAACTGGAAAGGTTTTCTGCTCCCAACCTGTCTGCAGTGGGCACAAAACCCTTGGGTCTTGTGTGATGGAGGATTTCCAAGTCTAGAGGCACTCCCTGGTCTGGGGAGCTGCAGTCTCTGCTTGCAGGAACATTTTGGACTGAAGAGGTTTCTAATACAAGTGTGCTTAAGACCTTTCTTCATATTGTTTTGTTTTTCTCCCCAGGGGGGTTATTTCCTAATCAACAGTCCCAGGAACATGCAGCTTTTAGGTTTGCGTTGTCTCAGCTCACGGAACCTCCCAAGCTCCTTCCCCAGATCGACATTGTGAACATTAGTGACAGCTTTGAAATGACATACACCTGTAAGTACCAGCATTCACTGTGCTGTCCCTTGCTTTTGGCTCTTTATTGCTGATTTGAGTTTATTTCATGTCTGAAATACGAGGTATCTTGCTCCAAACGTGTAACTCACCTTTAGGGTCTGGGCGGAAAACCCCAAACACACAGGCAAAGGATTTCTGAATCATTTTGGTTTGTGCTAAGGCACAGGGAGTGCTGCAGTTATTCAGCATGTCTGGTGTTTTCTCTTCCATTGCATCCAAAGTGGTATAAACCCCCCTACAATTCATTTCTTCTTGTTTCTCTAACCTTTGCCCAGCTCATTATGTTAAGGTTTCATCCCCATATTTCCCGTAGCTGTGGTGTACAACAAAGACACCTCTTTCCACCCACAGAGTGCACAGAAGTCTCTGTTTAGTGTGAACAGCTTCTTCCTCAGTCCCAGTTTAGCCATCTGTCCTCGTAATTCAAGAAAGACCTAGCAGAAATCAGCAGCTTGGTGCGAGCGGAGTCCAGATCCACAATAAGGGGCACTCCTAATAATGACAGAGAAGTCAAAGAGTTCTAGTTTCAAGAAACAATGAAATCATTGGCTCTAAAAACAAGTATTGAAAACTGAATTTGCACCGCAGAGTTGATCCTAGGGTGTATCTGCACCCAGCTAAAGCACAGCTGTGCTGTTCTTGTTATGCGGTATAATTGAGGAAAGAAAAACCTGGCTTGCCAGGTAATGCCAAAGTTAGCAGCAACAAACAAGACCAGGAGGAAACCAGACGAAAACTAAACCCATAACACAGCCCTGTGGTTGTGTGAGAGCTGTTGCAGGATTTGCTCCCCTTGGAAAACTGGTGCAGTTCTGTGGGAAAAGGGCTCCTGTGCCGACAGGACGTGATGCACAAAGAATTTCTTGGTTTAACCTGGTGTCAGACACTGCTGACTCTCTTTGAGCCTGTGAGTGCGTAAATGGACTGTCAGGAGGGGCTGGAGGAGCCCTTCCATTTGTAGAGCCTGCTGGATTGTTGTTGGCTCGCATCTGTTGTGTCCTCTTGAGTCAATGAAACATCCTCTCTGCAGTTTAGTTGTGTGGAGAGTGGGGGTAGAGGTGGGCACAAATGGTTCTCTCTGCTCAGAAATGCACAGAAGGCAAAAAAAAAAATAAGGACCAGAAATGTACAAGAGGAGAATTATTAAGGCTTTATGAAGAAAAAAAAAAAAGTAATAAAAAAGAGGAGTTGTGATACTTTCTGTTGGAAGGTTTGCAAATACAGGATTTCAGGAATTTCCTGCCCAGTATGATATAGGAGAGGAGGAACAATTTGGCCACACTTTCATTGCAGTATCTAATGACATATCTAAAGATTTTCTATTTTCCTTAATATCCCTCTATTTGCCAACTACAAGGTTTCCATCAAGGAAGAGCAACTATTGCAGCTCAATCCAATGGCACTTTCTTGGCAGGAAAACCAGACAAATAGAAGAAAAAAAGCAGACCTTGTATCTATCAAGGGAAAGCGTCACCCACCTGGGGTAGAGTTGCTGACTGTGGCTGGGGATGAGCTATTTCAGTGCTGATAGCAGGAAGAAAGCAGAAACTGCAAGAACATCACTCAAATAAATTCTTCACCTGCACATGGCTTTCCCTCCCTCTCCACCCCTGCCACTAATGGTTTTGTTTACAGCTTTGGCAGCAGGACCATGATACTAGTTATGCTTCAGAAATCTGTCATTAGGAGCACGGGGGCAGGGGTGGTCTCACAAAAGCTGAATGGAAGCAAGACAGCCTCCCAAAGGATGTTATATTTGAGCTCTATGTAGGGCACATTGTCCTAGATCAGACCAGCAGAGCACTCTGCACAGTCCAACTTTACTTGTCCTCGTTTTTCTTCTCTTATAATTAAAAACTTCCTAAGTTCTTCCAGACTATGGAAGGCAGCATTTGTTTTGTATGCACAAAAGAAGGTGTTATTCCATATACCCTAGGGGTGAAAAAAAACCCAACCCCAAAAAACCAGGCCATTAGGAGACCTGATTTTTGTGCTTTAGGGCTGAAGTAAAACTTTTGTCAGGAATTAGCTCATTCCTCATCTCCCAGCTAATTCCCTTCCTGGTTGCCAAGACTAGATATCAACAGAAAGATCTGTTTATTTACAGAGAACAAAAACCTTGCCCACGCAGTGGTCCTTATCTTCTGAGAAACGACTGGCCATGCTACCAGTTAAAAGTACCAGTTTTCGTTCCCATGGAGATAGAGAACACAGCATTTCCTTGCCATTGGCATTACCTGTTTCTCTGACAGTTAAGTCAAAGATGTTTGTGCCCTGTAAAGCTGGTGCTGCCCCAATCTGAGTCTCCAATAGGTCATCTGAGGAACACTCATAGGTCCCAGCCCCACTGCAAATCCTGCTTTGTGTTAGGATCTGGCCTTGTGTGCTAAATGTAGTCCTTATGGCAAGTGCCTCGAGCAACATCGTTGAAAATACAGAATATACATCAAAAATCAGTTGTGGGAGCAGAAGTGAAACCCTTGTTGGGCAGCTTGCGGGGCGATGTCGAAGTGGCGGGATGAACTGCAGCACGATGGCAGCACCCTGGCTAAGGAGACTGTGTACAAAATGTATCTCAGCATCAACTGTGACACTATCTACCTCTGTCTGACACGTATTTGCTTACTGGTTAGGATGAGCAAGCTTTGGCATGACAGTGGGTGAAGTTACACGACGTCCTGCTCCCATTTGTGCCCAGGTAAAGGCGCTGTTAATGACGCGCCAGTGATGATCGTGAACTGGTAACAATAATATCCATCAAAGTGATAAATCTGGGAAACAGCAGGAGGCTGCTGTTGTGTCACGGTTGTTGCTGTCACTGTGACAGCCCAGCAATAACTTTTGCAATTCTGATGCTTTCAGAAGTGGACTTTTCATCATTATGCAGTGATTGTGAATACTCTGTGTGGGGAAGCGTCGATCCACAAGTCCTGTGCTCCCTGCGTGTAATACGTCAACAGATGATGCTTTTAGGCAAACTGTAATCATTAAGAAATTAAAAATAGGTTGTAGATACAACGTGTGGTAACCTCCTGTTTCATGTTTGAGGTTGGTGCTAATGTTGTCTCAACACTGAAACATGGGCACATTTCAATAACTGAAATATCTTCCTGAATTCATTCCATCCCACGGAATAGCTGGTAATGAACAGGCTCTGTGGTTGCAGCTGGGTGTGTGGTGGGGCTTACCCATATGAAAACACACACCTGCCACTCTGAGGGTTCTTAACTAAAGGTTAGGAGGCTTTATAATTTTGTGATGTATCTTCAAATGCCAAGGCAATTCTGTGGGGGGAAGGTGAATTGAAAGTGCTTCCTGCAGCAGAAGTACCCAGCAATGCCAGGTGACTGTAAAGGGTAAAATGATGGTCTGGAGTACCTGAAATGTTTACCTGGTGACATAGCAGAGCAAAACCTTTCTGAGCAGCTTTAAAGGCATGTTCACAGGTTCTGTCTTCAGTCATGTTTGGAAAAGAGCTTTACAGCCTCCACACAGTCTCTAGCAAACTCTGCCATGCTGGGTTTTGCTGTGTCTGACTGCACTCAGGACAGACCCAACACAGCAGCGTTAATGCTGCAAGTCAGAGTGGAGAGGAATGGGAGGAGGCATGCTCTGTGCCAGATGTGAAGACACAGAAGGTCTGAAGCCTAGGAGAGAGCTGCAAATTCCTGTCCCTGAGAGGTCTGCAGTGGATGCAGGCACCGTGTACTGTTGGCAGCAAAACTATGGCAGACTGCTTGCTTGAGACAAACTGTGCTGGGAGTAGTTTTATCTTATTCTTCATCTCAACCTCCAATTGTGCACATGTAATGCACATCCCCATCCTGTGCACAGCCCAGCTCCTCAGGGAATATGAGTTGTTTCAGCCACAGCTCCATAGCTTTATTTAATTTGTGGTGCAGAAGCTCCTGCTTTCGGCCCCTGGCTGAAGTCCCTGGGTGAGCCCAGCAGCGTCAGGAGATGTGATGGCTGCTCTCGCTGTCCAGGGAAGCCGATGGCTCAGTAGCAGCCTTCCCTGGCAGTGCCCTGGGGGCTGTGCCCTGTGAGCGGTGCTCACACAAGGTGAGTCACCAGCTTGGTAAATCTGTCCCTGCAAAACTCAGGCCACTTTGCAGGGATGACCAGTGACTAAAATAACCCCTGTTCGTCACCGAGCCCTGCAGCTCTGCTGAGGCAGCCATCGGATTTTGCGTGCTTTGGTGTGGGGTTACTGCCAAGGGGTGTTCAGGAGCTGCCCACCTGGAACACAGAGGTCAGCACAGGATAGCAACAGGATTTTTCAGCTGCAAGAAAACTTGTTGAAAGACTGAAAACCAATGAATTATTTATCCCTCTCCTTCCTTGTATGCACAGGTACAGTTACTGTGGGGTCCTCATACTGAGTATGGGCTGTGGGTGCAGTAGAATATCAACAGTTGAATCTGTTCTGGAAATTAGAAAATCGTCATGTAGTTTGGATTCTGTTCATATTTTATGAGGGCCTCCCAGCACCAATTAGAGAGGGATTTGTAATGATCACTCACTCTGTGCTTATGTTCTTATCAATAGCAGCAAGCTTACATCCAGATCAGCTATGAAATGAAGTATTTCTTTTTCTTCTTTTCCTTGGATACTTACATATATAGATAGAGTATTTATAGAGATTGCTTTTTATCTCTTAAATTGTCTCTTAGAGGCAGGAAGGAATAGGCAAGAATTAGAATGTTCTCAAATGAGGATCTAAATTTGTTTTAATTAAACAATTACTGCGTTGGATTTAAAGGAAGCTTCTTTGTTGACAAACATATGATGGTCGCCATTTCTTGTAAAGGTGTTGTTGTAATCATTCCAGCAGCAATCAATTAAAATGCAATTTTTATAATTAAACTTCCACAGCCTAAATAAGCCCAGCCCTGTAATAGTTCTGGTATTGCTAGACTTGTTATTATTTTTGCAGTGTCAGAAACCCCATGTAAGTGCTTTGGGATTTTTTTTTCCCC